CTTGGAAGACTTGCATTTGTCAGATTAGGATTCCCATTTGTTGTTCAGCCTTATGGCTTGCTTCAGTTATAAAATGCTGAATTCTGAATCCCAGTTCTTAGAGATGAGGCTGTGGTTCTCTGCTCCTTTTCAAACACTCTGGAGGAAGACTGCTGTCATCTGGCTGACATGCTCTGTTGGAGCATATTTCCAAGGAACGGGCACATACGTGCTAGTAGGCCATAGGCCTCTGGTAGAAAGCCAGGAGCAAGAAAAACACAGATGGGAACTGGTAACTTTTGACAGCTTATAAAGTAATCAAATGCAGACTGATTTTCAGAAGGCCAATAAAAGTTAAACTCTCATTTTAAGACTAACATTATACCACATGCTGAAGTGTTACTCTAAACCATAGAGTGCTGTTCCAAATCTTAACATTTTTAATAAAGGACTTTGTTAAGCCACTGCAATTTCTCCTGTAAGTCATAGAATTGTAGCTTCATGTAGATCGCAAAAGACCTTCAAGATCGAGTCCAGTTGTCAGCTTGACCTACCAAGGCCTGTCACTGAACCTCATCCCTTGGGGCCATGATTACAAGATCATAAAACTTCTGTTAAGCAACAAATGCTGAGGAGAAACATCCTCTTGGAAAGGATATTGCAAAACTCTGCAGCATGTGGTATCTTGCATCTTTTCCTGAACTGTAGTGCTGGCCACTGTCAGTGGGAAAACTGGAATAATCTTGTCTAGAAAGTTCATGCGTTTTCCAGTCTTCAAAGTATTGTATTTTAGTTGATGTGAACACCTTTTGTTAAGTCTCCAATCCTGAGCTTGTTTAAATATAGGAAATCTATCCCACAGCATGGGTTGAGAAACAAGACGAGCCTATTACGCTAAAAGCAGAATTGATCCATTTCTGCAACTGAAAAAAAAATAATAATAATTCTAATCATTTGATTAACCGTCTAAATATTTATAAAAAGACCTACTAGGTTTGGCAGTTGTCTCAAAATCATTTTGTTCTACAACTTATTATATTGATCCTAAACTAGATTACACAAAGCAAATTACTTCTAGAATTATTTCTGATTTGTGCTTTCACCCAGTGAATCTTTATAATCTCAGTTTCTTTTCTTAGGAAATTTTCATCCTCTGTTCTTCAAATACTCCAGTCTATTTTGCTCTCTTTGTCTTCACTACATCTTTTTCCACTGCATTCTCAATTTCTAAAGGATTTTTTCATTCATAATTAATTTTGGTGTTTTAAATCACATCTCTGTTCATCAGGGAGCACTGAATAAAACAATTTGTAAACTTCTGATGCAAATTTTCCTTGAAATTTTGCTCAGCTTGGTTAGTATGTTGGAAATTATTTCCAAGTTGATAGATAAAACCATTATTTTTCTGTTAAGACTCTGCCACTATCCTTTCCTTTACAGGGAACACTTGATTGATTCAAAGCTATTTCATCAATCAGTGTGAGGACAGAAGAAATGAAAGTTGATGCTGCTGGGTGTTAAATCTTTGTTATCTATGGCTGAACTAGTGTGGCAATCATTCTAATACTTGAGGCAATTGCTACACAAGATTGTAATAGTGGCTTAAACCTGAGTAACATATTATCTACAATTCATTTTCTTTGTAATGAAATTGGGTGGCCATAAGGACTTTTTATCACAAGAAAGGGGAAGATGATCAGTATGAAGTCTGAGTGTTAGGGTGCTATGGGGGCTGGATTTTCCCTGGGGCCATGGTACGTGGATCCTGGCTGTCAGCCTCCATCCTGCTGCCCCTCTGCTTGGCCAATATCCCAGCCAAGCTACTTAGCTCATATTTTAAAATATATTACCTACAAAAAGCTGTGTAACTGAATGGCAAGAATTCAAATATCTCACTTCAGTTGAGTTTCTGTGTTTGGGTTATCTGTGTTTGAAATGTCTCTCTGGTCCTTCATGTCCTGTGTCAAAGTGATCTTTTAATGGTCATTTGTCCAAGTCTATCCAAGACTGTTCAGGAGTGGAGGAAATGGCAGTGTTCTCCCCTCTGTCCAGTCTGGTCTCGAGGTATATGAGAGGAAATTCAAATCAGCACAATGGGAAACTTTGGCTTTAACTTCTGTCTTCATCAAGAAGAAACTGCCTTGCACTTGGGTGTGATGCTAGATCCCCAAGCTGCAGCAAGCTGCCTTTTTTCCTTCTGTTGCAGGTCTGATTCTGTGTGAAATGCATGAACTAGGCATAATGCAGAGAATAAGCAGAAACAGAAATTGACTTTACTTGGAGATTAAGACCTTCTCACGGCTGAAGGTAAATGAACACAGATATCCCTTGTCCTCAGTGTGTTACTGTAGAGGAAATGCTAAGCCATGGCTTGCGGCAGTAATTGAGTACCTGGTGGGAAGGCAGGACCAATCCAGGGGAGCTCAGGTGCAAGGAATGCCCCTGAATGACTGGAAGAGGTGGAGCCAGGATCTACCCCTTCCCAGACCTCATTTAAGGATTGGCAGTGGAGGCAAGGTTATCTTGCTGGAGATCCTTGCACATTGGAGTTCTGAAGATAAGTAGCTTCTTTCCTTTATTTCTGTGCCCACGGCTGTTAACGTTTGAGCAAAAGCTTGCTTGCTTCAGCCTAGGGCTTTGCTGCCGTGCTATCATTGCTGTGCTTTCCGTTGCATTACAGTTATGAAGATCACTAGTTAGGGTATAATGCATAGAGGGAAAGGGGATATTGGTTGACACTTGGCTGAATGTGAGCCACCAGTGTGCCCAGATAGCCAAGATGGCTGGTAATATCCTGGCTTGTATCAGAGATAGTGTAGCAAACTGGAGCAGGGATATGATAATCCCCCCGTACTCAGCACTGGTGAGGCTACACCTTGAGTACCGTATTCAGTTTTAGGCCTTTCACTGCAAGAAAGACACTGAGGCCCTGGAACATGTCCAGAGATGAGCAGTGAATCTGTGGAGGGTCAGGAGCACAAGTCTTATGAGAAGTGGCTGAGAGAACTGGGATTATTCAGTCTGATGAAAAGGAGGCTGGGGAGAACTTATTGCTCTTTACAGTGATCTGAAGGGAGGTTGTGGTGAGGTGGAGGTCAGCCTCTTCTCCTGAGTAACAGTGATAGGGTGAGAGGAGATGGCCTCGAGTGGCACCAGCAGAAGTTCAGGATATATATTAGGAAAAACTTCTCTGAAAGAGTGATCAGGTGCTGGAATGAGATGCTTATAGAGGTGGTGGTGTCACTCTCCCTGCTAGTGTTCAAGAAATGTGCAGATGTGGTATTAAGGAGCATGGCTTAGTGGGCAATATTGGTGGTATGTGCGTGGTTGGACGATCTCAGAGGTCTTTTCCAACCTTAACAATTCTATAAAGGAGAATAATGCATCTTCTGGAAGGGATTTTTTTCTTTTTCTGGAGAGAAATGTCTTTTGGGGGCAACAGTCTGAAAATGAATCCCAGAAGACAATATGCATGCTCCAAAACTCTGCCTTCTGAAAAACTGCTTTGCTAGTTTTGTTTGCAACTCTACTCTGTTGAAAGTGATGAACTTAAATGTTATGAAATTCAGGTAAATACTCACAGCTACAAGATACTGGAGCCATTAAAATTTAACCAGACTGCCTAAAAGCTATTTTCTGTGTCAAGTTCTGAACTCTTCCTTCAGCCTAACTATTCAGAAAAATAAATAGATCCTTGGCACTATGTATTCTAATTAGTAGAAATCTGAACTAAAACTTCTGAGGTGTCTCTCCTAGGACCATTGTGACTAAATTTACATAGACACACTATTATTACAGGGATTCTGAGACTTAGGGAGCTCCAAGTGGTTTGTTTTGATATTCCATTGGGAGGTAAATGACTTAAAATTAGCTGTGGATATTAATCTCATTTTTGTAAGCAGGTAAGAATGTGTAAATTTAGGTGTGAATGTAATTAGAGAACTCAAAAGATTTTATTGCCATACACAAATTTGATTTCATAGATTAAACAGACTCTGTGCAGGACAGATTCTGAAAAATTACACTTTGTAGCCCTATAATACCTGGGAAAAACACTGAAAACTTCTAGATTTGCACATCCCACCTCTTATCTATACTAATTCTATTACAATGAGAACAGAGAAAATCACCTTGACCACCTTCAGGTATGGTGACTCCCCCACCTCCCTGAGCAGCCTATTTCAATGCATTATTGAGAATTCTCTTACTGAGAAGAGATTTTTCTTAATATCCAACCTGAAGACAAAGACACTTATTTATCCTTAGCGATAACTGTTTAATTCCGAAACAAAGTTGAACGTTAGAGCGGTATGAGTTGTATCAATTTATATGCCCCATGAGGTCATGTTTTTGACTGAGTATTTTATTTAAATAAAGTGATAAAATGTAACAGTCAACAAACCAAAGAAACTACTTTTTTTTTTTTTTTTTTTTTTCATTGAATTGTAATTTATCATATGGCTTTATAGAGTTTTGCTGCTAACTACTACAATGGGGTTATCTGTCATTAAGTTGAAATATCTACATTACATGCACTGTGGCACCGCATTAAAAATTTGGGAAGAACTTACAAAACATTCATATTCTCTTGCTTTGGCAAAGGTCAGTGTAGAGACTGTTTCCTGGTTTCTGGCCATGACATGATGCACTTCTTGGTTTCCTAAGCCTGATTTAACAATGGAAAAATCCTAAAGATAACTTTGAATTGCTATGCTGGTTTTACACTGGTTTTATGGCGAATATTTAAAAGGGAGAACTCTCAATCTGACACTGCTGTCATCATGTGTTTGCACAGAGATAGCACAGGGTATCAGTATCTGTCTCTGTGTCTCTCCCTCTTTGCTGCTATATTTATCACCCTCCTGGCCATAAAAGGTCTGTCCTGGGGCTCTGACATTCCACTGACTACAGGCATTATTTTTGTTCTGGACGTTCAAGTCCAGTCCTTACCCAGGTCCTGCCTACGTCTGCTTTTACTGCATTCATCATTGCTATATGTTTCTGTTGTTCATCTGTTTCAGAGCTAATCCAGTTGCTGTTCATCTCGATCCCGGTAAGTGTTTCTGTATGGCATAAGGCTTTATGTGTTCAACTATTTTTAATTTGAATCCATACTGCCGAGTTGATGGTAGCTGTCTTTTAGTCTCCTCAAATCAACAGTTATTTGAGGAAGTAGTGGATTGGTACTGACGAAATCTGAAGGCTCAACTGTGGAACAAAGTGAAGTAGCGCAAGCATTCACTTACCAAATTGGCTATCCCAGCATATTCTTATAGTACCCTCAAATGAAGCATGGACTACTGAGATATAGCAGGAATCTGTCGTGTTACTTCTTCTGGGATTAGAGAATGTGTAATCTAAATATTTTCTAGCTGCAGAGAATGTCTTGTGATTTGCAAAGGAGATTAAACACCATTGACTGAGCTGAAGGGAATCTTATATATTTTTTTTAAGCTTGTATGTTTCTGTTCTTTTTTTCCTATTTCATTGTTTTCACTTATTGATGAAGTAGATCTTTAAAGAATTACAGATAGTAAATTGTGCAACAGGCACTGCCAGTAATTCACTTCCCTTGATGTGTATTTACAGCCTACAAACAAGTACTGCCTGTCTGCTCAGATGTCATTCTGAAAATTCAGTTCAACAGCTGCTAACATATAGCTCCAAAATCAGCATATTTATCTAACTATGTCTTCTATATTTTTAGGCCTGGCTCTGCAGTTACAAATTCCTACACAGCTTCTTGTGCTTCCCTCATAGTGAAAAGGGCTGGTTAGTGTAGGTACAGGTGGGATGGATTTTATAAAATTTAAAGACATGGGAGTCAATCAGATTACCAGCCAGTGCTGGTAATAGGAGCAAAATTCTCACAAGGTTCAAAGCTTCTTGTCATCCCCACAAATGTAGCTTTACTATATCTTGTCAAACTGATGTCACTAACTGACCTTTACCTGTGAGTAATGTTTGATATTCCAGAGAAATACAAAACATAACTGGTAGGATGATGAAACACTTATAAAAGGAAATTCTTACATTGCATCAGTAGGAGTTGTCCTTTAATTCAAGCCAGGAAAGCTCACTTCTTGTTCAGCTTGTCTTACTTGGTTCTTACTCTTACCATATACTTCTCTTACTTCTGAGAATAGTGAGGCCCACAGGTTTAATGTTTAGAAGAAAAAAATGGCCTTTATTCATTCTAAATATGATGACTTGAAGTTGTTAAGCTTTCTTTTTTTTTTTTTTTTCTCCACTCGGATAAGATGTAAATTGAAATGCATCTTCTAATGTCCCTATTTGACAATACATGAAGTGTTTTATACTTTTGGATCACATTCCCTACTTTGCATCCTGGAAAGCTGGGGAAATCCCTGAGCAACAGGACTGAATGGGTGTTAGCTTTGTGGCTGCTGTAACCATGAAGAAACTAAACAAAGCTAAAAATAAAACTGGAGAAGGTGAAGGGTTGCAAGTGCAGTGCTCAACAAAAGGGGGGGAAAAAAGAGATGCTCTCATGCTCTTTTCCTTTCAGTGTGCAAAACAAGACTCATCTGCACACCTTAATTTTGCCAAATAAAAATCGCAGTGGTTTGCAAACCCTAACCTTCTGCAAACCTGGCAGAGAAAGTGGTGAAGAAAAATGAAGAAATCTTATGAAACTGGGGAACTTAAGAGAAACTATGTACCACCAAAGGCCAACAAAGTGAAATAAATAGCAATAAAAAATATTGATTGGAATTAGGAGTAAGGATACTAAAAAGAATAAAAGTTCATTAGACTTGCATGAGAAAACAAACAAACAACCAGCCAAGAGGACAAATGAAGGAGTAAGCAAGGAACTCAGTTTTTACCATAGAAAACAATAGGCTAATGCTCTTTCTCATCCCTCTCCCTTCCTCAGGTAGAAATTAAGTAAATGGATAAACTAATCTCATTAAAGTAATTATTCCTCTATGCTCCAAGTTGTCATCAATTTCTTTTACACACTCAGAGACTTCTGATTGACTCTATTGTTGACTTTCTGCAAATGAGTGACTGGATCAGTTAGGCAAAGAGCAGTTCCTAGACTTTGAGTGAGACCTGAAATAGAAATAAGTTAAAACTGTCTTTTTTCCTAATTTGCCTTAGTTTGATGGAGTACCTGAGCCATTGCCGAAGAGGTTAGTTTGCTATTTCTTGTCTTGTCCTACTGTCAAAACAAATACTGAAGATAAAGGCAGTCTGCAATATTGAAAATATTATAAGATTCATTAAAAAACATTGATTTTTATGGAGTTAAGATTATATTTCAGCTCTGTAAGTGTATTTTATATCAAAACATGAAATAAAGTTTCATCAGTGTGTACAAAACCAGAAGTAGAACACATTCCCTATTGTTTTGATTTGTATAAAAAGCAATAGTGATATTTCTTCCCATTTTTGTTTTCAATTTTTTCTCAACATTTTCCCACTGTAGCCTACTCCTTTTCATAATAGGGATAATCCTAGCCATCTTGTAAGCATAATGACCAATGATAAGAAAAAGAAAGGTTGTCAGGGTGCGTTGATAGAGGCAACTTTTCTTGCCAGAGAAGAAAACATCTGTCTTAATAGTAAATGCAAAACAAAAGAAGACTGGACTGCCAGCTGAAAAAAAAAAAAAAAAAAAGGACATCTTCACTGTATTCAACCCTCGTCCCATTTTCAGAAGGGAACTACCTTTCACCTGATCAAATTTTCTCCTATGAGAAATGGCAAGGAAAACTAGTGGTGATTGTGCAAAGTCAAACTTAGGTGAGGATACCACCTGTATCAACTGTAAAAGTGTGATAAGCCCCTTTAAATGAATCTCTGCAATAGAATCTTTGGAGTTGGAAGGGACATTTAAAGGTCATAATGCACGTTTATGGAAAAAGAGTGATGTTCTCAATCTTACTGTTTCTAATTGATTATTAAGATCTTAAATTTTAAATTAAATTGGATTTTAAAATTGTATTACAAAAATGAATGAAATGTTTGCATATTTTTGTCTCAGCTTAAATGTATTGAATAGTTTTCCTGCAACCTCATACCATTTTAAATCATTTGTTAAATTAAGAAGAAGAGATTAATTTAACAAAAATATTTAAGGTACTTCTGAAGAAGTTGAACACATAAAATTTCATGAGCAGTAATGACTGGAGAAGTTAAACATACAGGAGTGCAGTAGTTTGCAGTAAGGACAGGGAGACTATTACAAGTGAACAGATGCCATAATACAAGGTTTTCTGCTTGTGTTGAATGACATCTGACCTTCTTGAGGCTTAAAAATGGACTCTTCTTAAAAAGCATCAAAAACGATAACCATAAATTTATTATATGTTTAAAGATTGAAGGTCTTGTTAGTTTAAGTTCTGTACTATTTGTATGCTGTCTCAGAAGTTTTTTTGACATTACTCTTTATTTTTGATCTTTTTCAGACAGTCCTGCTAGGTTTACATTCAGAAAATCACAGGGAAAACAAAATTAGAAGGCACTCATGATGTCTTTACCATTCTATCAAAGACACCATGACCATTACGACCGTGCGTATCGCCATAAAGCACTGCAGTCAACTGTAAGCCAGTACCAAAAGGAAACAAAGAGCAAATCTGCTGTCTATGCTCAAGGATCTGCAGCTTATGCCAGGGGATCTGCAGCCTACCGCCATGCTTCTGCAGCAGACTTCAGCCTCGACTCTTCAGCAGCATATAGCCATGGCTCTTCAGCCCACAACCTTGAGTCAGCAGCCTACAGCTATGGATCTACAGCCTATGATCACGCTGCTGTGCAAAGTAAGAGATCTGCTGCCTACAGTCTTGACTCTGAAGCCCTCAGCAAGAGCTCTGCTGCGTATAGTCATGGATCTGAATCAATCAACAAGCTGGCTGCAGCCTACCGCCTGGGGTCAGAGACCTACGGTCTTGGGTAAGGCTAAAAGTAAATCTGTCTTTGAAACAGTATTTTAGAACGAAAATGTGTTACCATATCCCATTGGTAAAGCAAAACTCTCAAGCTCTTCAATACAAATAAGCTCTGTGACGTGGTTTAAATATATCTTCCAGACTTAGTGTTTTCTTTTCTCTTTGAGGCTGGGAAGCACTCTAGTCAGCTAGTTTGCTGGACTAACTTGTGTGATATCTGGCATGAAAACAGCACTGTTATGGCTGAATGATGAAAAATATGAGCTCCATATGCATTCTCTAAGCTGGGTGGGCATGAGTTCCCAAAATTGTTCTGTCATATTAAGACTGCTGAAGCTAATATTCAGTGCTGAGAGAACTTCTGGATTGAGGCTGGATCTTATTTGACCATGATGGAGCACTAAAAGAACTTGGGGCTGTTTGCATGAGTTGAGCTGACGTGTTCATATATCATTAAACACTTCTGCCTTAGCACAGTATTTTTATTTTTGTGCTGAGTGAGTCAAGAAATTGAAATTTTCACAGTGAAAATTAGTTGAGAGATGCTACTTTCAAAGAGTACTATATAACTGTTTATTTTGCATTAGAATAGCTATGCTTAGCTGCTGTTATTTTAGTTTAATTAAGACCATAAGTAATGCTCAAGCAATTACTTTAGCATAATATTTTAGATAGCATGGCCTCGTGTTATATGTATATATCTCAGAAGTTGGGGAAGCATTAAAGTAAGATTAGAGCAGCTGTTAGCAATAAAGAAAGCAATCAACAAATTATAGAGAAAACATCTGCTCTCCATTATATTAATATAAAATTTAGAGCATTATTAGCAGAACCGATTGAGAGTTGTTCACCAGAAACTTGAATTTTGAAAACAGAATATTCTCCAAGGATTTTGGATAAATACGAATTCTGACCAAAAGTGCTGAGGGAAAGACTACCTGTACCACAGTAAATAATGCCTTGTGATTACAGCCTTCACTTGTCTTTCAGGCAGTTCAGGGTCAAGATTCCATTTGCCAGAGTTTGTTCAGGAAATCGAACCTCAGGCAGTTAGAGCCCAGATGAATGACTTGGCAGTCTTGGGCTGGACAATATCCAGTCTTTCCTATTGAAACAATTTCACTTGTATAAATAATTAACTGCTCTGTGAAGTAGCAAGGAAGACTCATTTATAATCTGCTGATAAAGGGATGCAGACTGGAGATGGCAGGACTGAGGTTTTTGTTCCTAGAGAATCAGGTAGGGGAAAGTATCCCAAGTTGTTCCTGCCCTGCAGTGATGCAGCTGTGCCTACCTGTTGCTGCTATCCCTAGCCCAAAGCTTTGCTATTTTCATATAAAACTTTTAGTATTCCAATACATGGAAACATTACCTGAAGTTACAGAAAATGATCATAAAAACAAAATCTGCCAAGTCCCATTGATTCAGTGATTGAGGATTTTAGATACTTATTCTGAAATGCGAATCTCCTTGCCAAGAAGAGCTCTAATTGTTTGATGTACTGAAACTATACTAAGAGAGCTTGGAATGTTTCTAGGTTTCCTAGGTGCTTTGTCTGACATAATAGCTTTTGTTTTGAAACAGTATATTTGGTGCTACTTTTGTAAGCTGCTCTGTAGCATAAGAGTTGCCAACAGATCTCATGTACTGTCCTGCCAATCACAGATGAGAATGTCTCAGCTGTAATGCCTCTCTGTGATACTGTCTTTGTACCAGAGGTATGGGAAACTCAGTGCTGCTGTGGGAAACAATAACTTCGGATATTAGAGTTAGAAACTTAAATTGCTCTTGCACAAAACTTAATACATGGGAAAATATGTTTCTGAGTGGTAATATTTAAGGCAACTTTATGGTTAATGTGGCTTCAATTTTGGTATTTATTTGGCTTCTGTAGCAACCTCTTGGTGGACATTTTGGTGCAATTTTCAAGATGTACAAGTGGTGCTGATTTAAAGTAATTCTTCCTAAATTCATGCTGTCTTTCCCTGAAAGCTCAAAACACTTCAAGGGATAGTTTGGAGACAAGAAGTGTTACTAAAATAATCTGAGCACATCACTTCTTGATTTCATCCTTATAAAAGGAACGGTATAATGATGGCGGGGCTGGGGGGAGGGGTTGTGGAAGAAAAAGTGTTCAAGAAGTCTTCAAACACTTTCAATTTTCAAAATGGTAAAGTGCTCTGAATCAAGGTGCTGCATCCAAACTAGAGCCCTTGGTGGTTACTGGAAGCCTGAATACACACAAATCCAAATCCAGATAAAACTGTTCAAATAATTGTTGATTCTTGGCTGTCATTTGATTTAACATTGAGATTTATGTGTAGTGGTTTTGTTGATGTATAGTTCTGTGAATAAACCTTTCTAAGCCCACGAGGAAAACAGACCATTCAAATACCGAGCTTAAATTCAGGCCACCTCTTATTTTTACTGAAAGTTCTTTCTGTTAAGTTTTACTATCCCTGCAAAATGTGAGTCTCATCCATTTCTGTAACCACTCACAGAAAAGAGTGTCCATAAAGAGGTGAGGCTGATGCACAGTTGATGCTGTGTGGGGAATTTATCATGGGAAAGCAGTGGTGAAGGACGCAGGGCTGAGTAACATGCAAGATTTTGATCTGATCCCAGTTCTCTGAGTGAAAAGTGCCCAGAGCACTGACAACTTAAAGGAACTACAGCTCCTTCAAAATGATAGGCTGCCTGTTCATTGCATTTCAAGTTTTTTCAAACAGTGACAGCTTGAAGAAGCAAGAGGAGAAAAATGAAAGCTAGCGAAACTAAGAACAAGTGCGGAGGGATGTTTTTAACTCTGCTGGTTACCATTTGCCAAAGCTATAGAATGCTGGGCTCGTAAAACAAACTGAGTTTCATCAAGCAAAGGTTGCTATGTCACATCTCGCCCTCTCCACCAGCTTGGAGCCACTCCTGCCCTGCGCTGCTCCTCTTGCCTCTGCAGGGCTGTGAGGCTCTGATTATTTTTCTTTTCTGTCACTTCTTTATTTATTTAATAAGCTCAATATTTTGCCTTTGCTCAAACTTTTGTTGCTTTTATGTATGTCCTTTTTGTGGCTGGCAGCATCAAGTGAAGACAGTTGTGTCATAGAGTTGCTTTCTGACCCCAAATGGGCTTGCTTGGAGAGAAAATGTAAGTTAATGGTGTGGCTCAGGTGTTTGTATTGATTTGTAGTTAAGGAGAAATAGCAAAGAAGACAGGGACATAATTCAGGTGAACGAAGCAAGGAGAGGAGAGGCATCTTACTGACTTGCAATTAATTAGAGTGCCAGATAGTAATGCTGTTCTGAGCAATAACGTAACCAGGAGCAACAGAGGGCTGAGTAAATATTTTAAGAAACATGAGAAGACTGTGAACTTGACCTCCCTGCTGGCACTGCTTGTCCTTCAGTTTATTATAGGTGAGGGTTAAGGA